AGGGGGGGGGGGAAGCTGCCCGTGGAGGCTGGTTGGTCGCTAACGTGGATGAAAAATAACTTATCAGCAGGTTTGATTTTGAAAAGCCTGGTAGGACTTGAAATCTTTTGAAGTGATGGAATGTGGGGAGGTGCTGCCAAGAGCCAGGTTTTTTCTTGTGCCAAGTGGACTTGGTTTTATATCGTTAAAGGTAATATATGGCCCTGAAAATAGAGCTACTGGTTAAGCTGGTACTGACTGTACTAAAATAACGTTAGGTAGGAAGCTGTCACATTTCAGCGTTGTTCCAGTGGCTTCAGAAAGCTGTTGGCATTTGCCAGCAAACGTTTACACGTATTTTAGGATGCCCTGTAATCCATATTTCATCTCAACAATACTGACTACCAAGATGTTTGTGGTTTTTAAATAGAAGCTTTATTATTAGTATTTTCATACTCTGGTGCCACTTGATACAGAACTAAAACTCTTCCATTAAATGTGGGATTCAGCAAATGGGTTTGGCAGAATGTGGCCCACTGGAAAGGCAGGTGTCTGCTTTGAACAACAACAGGAAAGCTAGAAAATGTAAATTTAATTAGCTCAGTAACTTTAAGACAGATGTAATTAAAAAAAAAAAAAAAAGGGAGTGGTGGGTGTTGCTCGTGTCCAAAAGGCAGCCTGGTAAGAAATACTTCTCATTGGGTGTTATGGGCATAACATCCCGGTGACAATTGAGTCCAGGAGTGTCAACCTTCAACTGTTGGCTGTGGGATTTACCCCAAAAGAGTTCTGTTTGGAAATGCTTATTAATTAAAGCAGCATTTTGGGGCTCCCTGCTTGCAGAGACTATTTTGTTCAGAAAGTGCCATTGTTAATAGGTGCTGTTACTGGGGGCTTTAGCAGTACGGAAATAGGAAAATAATAATCCCTCTTGCTTTTCAGTGGGGGTGACCATCACATTTTAAATACTGGGTTGGAGATTGAGCATCCTGTACTTCTGAACAAGAACAAACCAGAATTAGTCCTGGATTTCCCTGCCAGTAGTTTGTACCTTTTCATGTCGGGGCATTCTTGGTGGATTTTAGGTGTTTTCCAGCCAAGGTACAGCAGGATTTCCAAATAAGCCAATTCATTTATATTTCCCAGAATCAAAACCCACATCCGTAGCGGCTGCTAAAAATGCTCATCCAGCATCTCCTGTGTGTGGTGCAGGGAGCTCCTGTCACCAGAGTCAGCCCCAGATGTGTGTGAGCATAACAGCCTCAGGCTCTCCCTTTGCAGGGTTTGTTTTCCAGGGAAAACTCACGTTTTATTTTACACCCTTCTCTGTGAGCACCCTTTGGCTGCATGAAAGACGCAAAATTTAGGGTTCGGTGAAATGGGATTGTGCCTTGAGTTGGAATGTGTTAAGTGTGCTTTATTATCAAGGTTCAGGATAATTAGTAAACTTGCATGGAAGTAAAGTTTTGGAAGTTTATGGAATAGCTCTATAAAAACAGGCAAAATTGTGTATTTTTATATAACCTCGTGCTGAAAAAGATGTAGCTGATGCCTGTCTTAGCGCTCAGTTAAATTCTCCCACTTCAGAGTGCTCTAGCAACATCACTGATGGTTTTTCGGTCTCTTGTGAGTTTAATTTACTCTGCACATGGAGTTCCTTACGATGACTTCTTCCCAACCTTTTTGCACAGGAGGTACCTGGGATGCAGTTATGCACAGCCCTGAGTAGGTGATTGTCTCTCACAGTCACGTTTAGAAGTTTTCTGACTGAACTTGTGAGGTTTGGATGCGGTGCCTGCAGCAACGTGAAGGGTTGTATCCCCATGAGGGGCTCTGCAGGAGGGTAAATGCTCCTGGAAGGGTTTTTGACGTGAGGTGGTGAGATACGGGGAAGGTGGTTTTACCCCCAGTGAAGGGAGGCCCCTGTGGAGCAAAACAAGCTTTGAGCGTCGCTCGGTCGTAAGAGACATTGGCCCAGGGACTAAATTCAGTACGTTCCTTCTGGGACACTAAGGCTTGGTCATTGCTGAAGGTAAGTGTGGCCCGTTCCATGGAAATGGCTCTGGATGGTTTGAGCAGATGGTTTTTGTTCAGGCAGGAAAAAAGGCAGTTGGAAAATCCAAGTGTAAATGACCCAACAGAAACTACCCCAACGTGGGTGACCCTCCCGGGTGACAGTCCACCGCTCTGGAAGGAAGGAGCAGTGTGGAAAAAACAAGGGCATGAGACGCAGGGCGATGCCATGCGTGGATAGAGAGAAAATTGGGAAACCTAAGGCACAAAATGAATTTTATTTAATACCCCAAATAATTGTTTTGCGTTTCAAAAGTAAAGGAAAACCTTTTATCCGTTTTTTAATGAGAGAGAAGAAATGGTGCTTGAAACAGCAAATGCACTTTTCCTGAGTTCTCACCAGAAGAGGTTGATTGTAATCAGCTTTAGGACAGTTTAGTTTAGTAAAATACAAGGATCATGAGCTAAAGAAGAGTGCGTTAAACAACATTCAGAGGAGGCTTCTGCCTGAATAGACAGGTTACGTACTGGCCAGAGAGCTTCTTTTAAACTGAGGGATGGTGTTACGTATCGCAACTGAAGAGCAAATCTTCTCCCTGCCTTCAAAGGGGAAAAGAATTGGAGTGTATTTACTTATTTGTTGTAATATCAACCCAAATTTGGCTGAATATAGCGTACAAACAGATGATAATAGGATGAAGAACAGTCCTCATGAGACTGAAGAAGAAGAGTTGGACCCAGCCCTGTCTCCCCAGACTGGATGTGAGAGCAGGAGGTGAGCCCCCAGTTGTGCTGCAGGTGAGAACATCTGGTTGTGGGGCCGTGGGGCAGGTGGCTGCGCTGGTGCTGCCCCTCTGGGAACACCCCATGGGCTGAGGTGAAGCTGCTTCATGGTGGAACACACCTGGGAAGGTGGTGATGGTGCCTCAGATGGTGGGTGGGGCTTGGCCAGGCTGTTGAGGTCTGGAGTCTGTGCCCTCAGCCTGAAGGTTCAGAGCTGGGTGGCTCCTTGTACCTCAAGGAATGAGCCAGAGCCATGGAGAGCTGAGAGGAGCTGAGGGAGCACCGGAGCAGTGGGGACACCCCGTGGGGCAGGGGTGAGTCTGGGCTTTGACGTGGAAGTGTTGAACCTGAGGCTCTGGAGGGGAAGCTTGTGGTAGCCATCAGTAGCGATGGCAAAGGACTGGGCTGGAGTCCACCAACTCCTGCGGCCCCTCCTGTGCTGAGCAGAAGGCAGATGTCCACCAGAAGGACTGGGAGGTCAACTGGGAGCACTGGGAGAGGGTTGTTGCGTGAGCTCTGTTCTTGGCAGCTTCTGCCAACTGCTTTTTTTTGATACGAAATGGGGTTTGTAGGTGTGATTATGGAGAAGGTGGTGGTGGGTTTGTCAGTTCGCGTGGGTTGTATTGTCTGATGGGAAACAGCTGAAGAGCAGGCTTGGGGAGATGCTGCAGGAAGCATAAGGGTTCCTTCCTTACAGGTGATGGAGACAAACACGTTGGGGATCTGATCTGCCCCAGAGCAAAGAACGAAATGGGTAACTTGTGTCTATGACTGGTGTTATCATTGAAAAAGAAATGGTCATGTGCAAATTCCCAAACCACCCCAGTGAGCAGCAGATGTAAGGGAGAGGCTCTGCCCTCCTCGCAGGGCAGTTTGACAGAGCAGAACCTGCTCTTTGCTGTCCCTCCTCCTTCTGTGCAAGCTGAGACAAACCCGGACACTGGGACGGGGTACAGAGGGTCCGAGTCCATAAAAGCTTGACTTTATTCTGGGTGAGAAGCATCGGGCCGTCGGGGGTTTGACCCAGTTGCCATGTGGGTTGGTCACCATAGTTAAAGGCACTACTATCTATTATTTAGTATCTTTTAGGCTTTCTTAAGCAGCAAAACCTTGTCCAGTGCATGTAATGATCTTCACCCTACAGGGGTTAGACAAGCAGCTAACCCCGCTCGTCATCTTAGATCAAATATTGGTATTTGTGGGAGGAGGGAAACCGATGAATTTCGGTGTGTGGCCTGGCGGCTTCCAAGAGTGCAGTGTTTGTCACTGAACTTTTTAATAAGTTCCTGGCTGAGCCAGGCAGAAGCTCTCACAGAGATGGTGGCCAAATCGTTTCTTGTGTTCTCTCCTGGCTGGCTGAGGGGCTCACTTTTTAGAGACTGGGATTTATATGGAAATGGGATCCGACTGAGATTTGCGTTTTGCATTGTTACCCGGGAACTGGGCTCCAGAGGAAGAATTTTAATGTAAAATAATCATATTGAGAGCTTAGCCGGCCGCTCGGCATGGCTCCTGAAGCCATTCCGTGAGCCACACCAGCTGGAGCAGGCCATGGGGCTGGCCATGGGGCATGTGTGCATGACAGTGGCTAGTGAGCAGGGTGGCCAGTGCAGCCAGAGGGGGAGCAGGCCTATGTCTGAGCAGGCCATGGGGCTGGCCATGGGGCAGATTTGGGGTACAGTGGCTAGTGAGCAGGGTGGCCAGTGCAGCCAGAGGGGGAGCGGGGCCAGGTCTGGGCTGTGATCACACCCCGGGTGGCTGGTGAGGAGGGGACCTGGCAGGGAAGGTCACCTCCTGGTGGACACCAGCCCACAGTGGGGGGAGGCAGCTGCTGCCCCCAGGTTCAGTTAACGGGTCAGGAAGAGAAAGCAAAGGCAGCCCAAGGTTGAAGGAGGCAACACCTCTGAGTGAGACTAATTAAAAGGAAGAGCTAATCAAGGCCTGGAGCTTTCAGGAGTCCCGCTGGGCTGGGGGATGCCGGGTGAGCTGGTGGGGGAGTGCACCTTTTGGGGGGAGGAGGCTCCCTAATTAAAAAGGGAGAGCAGTGCTCGGCGGTGGGGGTGGTGGTGATGGAAGTTCTGCTGAGCTTTGGGACCACCACCCTCACATAGCCACTCGGCTGCTTGGTGACA